GGCAGGGGGGGTTCAGCCCCACCAGCCCCTCTCTGAGGGGAGATCCTGGCCCCCCTCCCCGGGGCTGATGACCCACCCTAGGCTCTGTGCAGCCCCGATGGCTCGGGATGCTCAGCCCAGGCTGGCCACACACAGACCATCTCCTTACATCCCCCCTGCCCCAGAAAAGAGAAGGGAAACCCACGTATTTTAGGGTCAAAGGACGTCAGGCAGCGCAGAGAACCTGGGTAGAGGGTCTGGTCTCAGCTGCCCACCCCTCCCACAGGCACGGCCCACTCTCACGCGCCGAAACCCCGCTCCACACCAGACACACCTCAATATCCTCCCGGTGCCTCTTCTTCTGCCTGGCAGATGCCTGGCCCTTGTTGTGGGAGGAGTAGGAGCTGAGGGCACACCAGACAGAGAGCCTGGGGACGGAGAAGGGACCTTGTGAGGTGCTGCTGGCCCACCCGGACGAGGGCACGCGCACAAGGGAAGATGGCAGAGCCCAGAGCGTGCGCTGGGGTGGGACACAGCAGGTCCCTCCTCGGCGAGAGGCAGCAGGGAACTCTCAGGACACCGGCACGGCTGCTCCTGCCGGCACTGCACCGGGGCCAGAGTGGGAAACGGGTGGCTGGGACCCCGCTCCCATCCCAGAGCATCTCCCCAGACAAGCCCACCCACCCCCAAGGAGATGAGTTTGGGGACTTACTTGGCCAGAGCCTTCCCCGGCGGGTCCATGAGCGTGTGCCACTTGGAGGAGTCCGTCAGCAGGTTGGGCAGGATGTGGCCCAGCAGGGTCAGCGTCAGCTGCTGCATGTCCAGGCAGAAGATGGCATAAAGCAGCTCCACAGCCCGCAGCGTGTGCTCCTTCCGCGTCTCCTTCAGCAGCTCCTGCGAGGTGGAGGAACAGGGCTGAGGGAGGCACGGCCACAGCTGGGCTTTCCCCGCTCACCTCCAGCGCCCGGGACTGTCACAGCAGCCAGCCCAGCCGCAGCCAGGACTGCTGGGCACTGGGAGCACTGGGCCAGACCCCCAGTTCTATCCTCAGCACCCAGACACGGCGCTGGGATTCGCAGCCACCTCCCTCCTTCCCCCCGTACCTTGACCAGGTTGTTGCAGAACCAGTAGACACCCCCCATGTGCAGCAGGGTGTCGAAGATGTGGATGGAGTGGCTGTCGACCCAGCCCTTCTCCAGCACCTTGGTGAACATGCTCGTGAGCACCTCCTTGATGGGCTTCTTGGGGGGCAGCAGGTTCCAGTAGGGAATGGTGTCCATGCCCGTGGAAGGGAACTTGATCTGCGTGGCCGTCTGCTGCAGCACGTCCGCGCACATGTGCTCCAGGATGGAGCTCATGATCACCACGCTGCGGCACAGAGACGCGGGCTCACCCCGGGAAGCGGAGGAAGGGCAGGAGAGGGCCCGGCCCGGGCCCGGCGCGCCGCAGCTCACCGCTCGTTGTAGAACTGCAGCGTGTTCTCGCCGTACAGGGGGGTGGCCAGTTGCCGGATCATCTGCAGGGACTTCTCCCGCTCATCCAGGCCCAGCATGCGGACGTGGGCCACCAGCCAGGCCACCGCGCACACGGCCATGCTGCACACCTTCCCCTTGATGTTGTCTGTGATTTTCTAGGAGGGGAGATGGGAGTGGAGGTGGGTGAGCACAGACAGGCAGAGGCACCAGTTGCAGGGTCCAAGCCCTTCTCTCCTCCATGGGGAGAACCTGCCCCCCCTGCCAGCCCCACTGCCACCAGTGGGGAGATTTGGGGCAGAATTGAGGGGCTGGAACACCACTGGTTGCCCACCCATGTCATGAAGGAGCCAGCGAGCTCCAGAGTGGCTGCAGGAGCATTCAAGACAGGAGCAGAGGGGACCCCTGCTCTGCTCAAGCCTTGCCCCCCCACTGCCAGGACATGGCACAGTGCCACTGCCCCTGCTCTGCCCCACGCCATCCTCCCGACAGACCTGGATGGACTCAAAGGTGAGGACACTGTTCTCCCAGGCGTTGAGGATCTCCAGGATGGCGGCCGAGATGCTCAAACACGCCTCGTGCCACTTCATCTGCCTGCCAGGGAAGAGGCGGGGGGGTTCAGGCACTCGTGCAGAGCAGCCGCGGGGCCAGGGAAGATGAGATGGGTGCTCCCCTCCCGCCCTGCCCCTGCCCGGCGGGGTGTGTGCGCAGCTGAGCTCTTACACCAGCTTCATCTCGGAGGAGTTGTTGAGGAGGGCGACCAGGGACTCCACCTTGGTGGAGTCAGGGCGGAAGCAGGGGTGGTCGGGGTTGAGGATCTTCCCCTCCTCGGGCATGCAGGTCAGCATCCAGGTCTCGAAGAAGGGCACCTCGCCCGCCGGGCTCGACTCCGACAGGATCATCTGGAAGGGAACCGGGACAGGGTCTGCCACGCGGCCTGTCACCTGCACGGACCCTGCTGGGGACCCCCACCCAGAGGTCTGACCCCCACCCTGGGGTGCTCATGGCTGGCGGAACAGCGCCGCCCTGTGGTCTGTACAGAGAGGCAGGCACTGGTCAGCTCCCAGTAAGGCACTGGTTTCCAGTGTGTGGGCTGTGGTTTTCCCCCCACTCCCAGAAGACACCTCGGGGGACCACGGCCCATCCAACAGCTTCCCCCGGGGACACGCCAGGCCCGGACCAGCCCCGCGGGTGGCAGCGGGGTCACCACGTCTTGCCCGGAACGTGCCGCTTGTCCCCTGCCCCGCGCCGTGCCCGGTGTCCCCAGCACCGGCCGGCCGGGGGCTCCGCGGGGTCAGCAGGGCGCACGGCCCAGCTGGCAGCCAGCTGGGAGGGCTCTCAGGGTGGGGGGGGAACACACGAGCTGGGAATCCCGCACGTCGCTTCCTCCCTGCAGCCCGCCGTCACCCAGGGGATGCTATTTTGGTCAAATAAGTTTTGCACATCTGTTCGGCAGCAGCTGGTCAGGAAAGTCGCTCTGGGCCGGACTTTGGGGGGGGGAATGAGACCTCATCAGACACCCCCGGGCACGTCCGCTTCAAGCTGACTCCAGCCAAGACCCCCCCACCCCGCTGGCCTCTCGCTCCCTCTCAGCCTTCCCGGTGTTTCGGTATCGTTTCGCCTCCCAACACACACAGATGTCGAAACCTGGAAAATTTTCACGCAACCCAAACGTTTCCTGAGCTGGGCTGCAAGTTCCTCCTCTGATGGGGGAGGGCTGATGCTCAGCCTGGCTGCACAGCCCCCACAACCCCACCCCAAGCCAGCCAGTGCCAAACCAGAGAGACAACACTGGGAAAAGGCTGGGGAGACTGGGAGGG